ACGAAATTCATGCACTGGGAGTGGGGGCAGTGTCCCTCAGCCCAGCCTGCACCCTCTCCAATCTTGGATCCCTCAAGGCATGTCCAACTGCCCGTTTAGGCCTGATCCCACAGGCCTAAACGGGCAGTCAGACATCCCTCTTACAATCCAGGACTCCTGGCTCCCAGACGCTCTCCTGCCTGCCTGATTACCCCTAACTGCTTCTGCCTGCTAGCCTGATCATCCCCTAACCACCCCCCTGCCAACCTGATCAACGCCTAACTGCTCCCCTGCTGGCCCAATCGCCTGCGACTGCCTCCCCTGTTGACCCGATCACCCACAACTGCCCTACCCTGCTGGCCTGCTTGTTGTGGCCATCTTGTGACCACATGGGGGTGGCCATCTTATGCAAGGGTGTGATGGTCAATTTGCATATTACCTCTTTATTATATAGGATATACATGTACTTATGCATTTAAATATATACATATGGACTGGCTCTCAACTGCTCACCTGCCTGCCTGCCTGATTGCCCCTAACCACTTCTGCCTGCCAGCATAATCCCCCCCTAACCACTCCTGTGCCAGCCTCATCGACAACTAACTGCTCCCCTGCCAGCCCGCTTGCCCCCAGCTTCCCTCCACTACAGGCCTGTTCCCCCCAACTGCCCTCCCCTGCAGGCCTGGTCCTCCCAAACGTCCCTCTCCTGCAGGCCTGGTCGCCCCCAACTGCCCTCCCCTGCAGGCCTGGTCCTCCCAAACGTCCCTCTCCTGCAGGCCTGGTCGCCCCCTACTGCCCTCCCCTACAGGCCATCTTGTGTGTGGAGTGATGGTTAATTTGCATATTACCTCTTTATGATATAGGATTAATTGATCTGGATTTTATGTGCTTTTGCGTTCCTTAAAATTTTAATTTTTATTCATATTTTACATTTGAATATTTGATGTATCTGGAAATACTACTATCCTAGTCAGTATGAGGCTCAGGTCCACTTTAACACATTGTTTGCAGGTAGTTTTTATCGCGCGCTAACAGGTGGCACGGGCCATTTTTGCTAATTTTTTGCACAAATGGCAACGTTCAGTAAAATTACGATAACTTTAGTTTACGTATTTATACATTACCCCCATTCTGCCGCTAGTCTATAAAAAACGTGTCCCGCGCTCTACTACACTGGTAGAACGTATAAATACGTAAAACGTATAAATACTTTTCCCGCATACAATGTGTTAATTTGGTTTCCAAATTGCCAATAAGATGCCTCACAATATTTTTTCCCCCTGATTGAAAGTATCATCTTTATCATATTTTAAGTTTAAGTACCCACGTGTTTTGTGTATGTGTATTACTGGCCTCTCCATTCCATTCTGTGGATATTTACATTCTAGTATCTTAGTTTTAATCATTGTATCTTTTTAACATATTTTTTAATCCTCTGTAAGTAGTCCTTCCTTACTCTTACAATTTTTTTGGCTCTTCTTGGTTGTTTATTTTTCAGCATTAACTATCATATCCACTTGTCTAATTTAAAGAAAAATTATTTTGGTATTTCTATTTTTATGGCCTTCAATTTAAAGATGAACTTAGGGAACATTGACTTTTTAAAGCTGTCGTCACATTCTCTTATCCAGGATCATCGTATGCCCTTTTATGTGTTGGATTAATTTATTTCCTTTGGTAGCATTTACATGTTTCCTTTATACAAGTCTTGTTACATTTCTTGTAAAATTTATTTCTAGATTTTTTTAATGATGTTACAAATGCCATGTTTTGTCCTCCATTGTAATTTGATTATTGTCTATATATCTGAAGGCTAAAATATCGTGTATGGGTATATATTCATTTTATACCTACTCATTGTTTTAAATGTATTTATTATTTCTAATAGTTTTTAAGTTGATATTCTTGGATTCTTCAGAATGTAATGATTTTATATAAAACTAGAGGCCCAGTGCACAAAATTTGTGCACGAGTATGGTGCCTAGGCAATCAGGGCTGATCTCTGGGGCGACTGGCGTGGGGAGGCCCCGACTGGCACCCACCTTGGCTGGCCTGGGACCTGAGGGCTTGGGGCAGCTCTTGCATTGAGCGTCTGCCCCCTGGTGGTCAGTGTACATTATAGCAACTGGTCATTACACTGGTCCTTCTGCTGTTAGGTCAATTTGCATATTAGGCTTTTATTATATAGGACTAGCGGCCCGGTGCACAGGATTCGTGCACTGGTGGGGGTCATGGCCTGCGGGGATTGGCCTGCTCTGGGAGTGCCGCTCATCCCAGTCAGCCAAGCGGCGCTCCCACTGTGGGAGTGCACTGACCACCAGGACACAGCTCCTGCATTGAGTGTCTGCCCCCTGGTGGTCAGTGCGTGTCATAGCGACTGGTCGTTCTACCATTTGCTCATTGATATTTTATTATATATAGGATAGGTTGATAACATTTGTAGAAAACTCTTTTCTTTCTAATACCACTGATTCTTCTTTATAATTATACTAGAGGCCTGGTGCACAAAAATTTGTGCACTTGTGGGGGAAGGGGGGTCTCTCAGCCCAGCCTGTGCCCTCTCGCAGTCTGGGACCCCTCGGGAGAAAACGACCTGCTGGCTTAGGCCTGCTCCCGGGTGGCAGAGGGCAGGCCCAATCCCTAGGTGCAGCCGCTGGTAGGGTTCAGAGGAGGGCCGATTGGGGAGTTGGGTCGCCGCCCCCTGTCATGCACAGAGCAGGGCGGCTTGGGAGGTTGCGATGCCACCCTCAGTCATGCTCAGGGTAGGGCTATTGGGGGGTTGGGGCTCCCTGTCACACTCAAGGCAGTGTCGATGGGGAGGTTGCAGCACCACACCCTGTTGCGCACAGAGCAGGGCCCATCTGGGGAGTTGGGGCTCCGTACCCTGTCACGCACAGAGAAGGGCAGATCAGTGGGTTGGGGCACTGCCCTCTATCACCCAGAGAGCAGGGCCGATCAGGGGGTTGGGGCATCGCCACTGTCACACTCAGGGCACGGCCAATGGGGAGGTTATGGCTCTACCCCATCACACACAGAGCAGGGCCCGTCAGGGGAGGGGGGGTC